AAGCTTCGAACCTACCACTCTGCTTTATAATAGGGCTGAATTTGTGAAAAAGAATTCACAACAAACCCTACTAGATCCTTATCAACTAAAATTTCATGTCACCAGGATTCTAAGTAAACATTGAGTAAGCAGCATTTTGTTAATCTGTGTGAAATAACTGTATATCTTTTAAAATTTACATAATTTCACTTCCTAAATAATTTAAATTATTTCAGATGTTTCATTAACTTGATTTGAGATCCAAATTTGAGAATCTCATCAAATAACTCCCATTTGAGAGTCTGAGAACTCCCTCCTAAGGCTTAATGGAGGACTTTGCAGTCACCTCGCAGACCCCTTGCTAAAGAAATAATCTCTTCTAAAATGTAACTTACTATGACTTTCAGCGAAAATGATTTGTGTAAGGTTCCCTCCGTCTTTTAGGTTTATTCTATTTGCATTTTCACAAATATTTTATACTACTTTTACAAAGACACGATCTCATAGCTTACACAAGCCTTTTTCTTTTCTGTTGAGTTTACTATCTGCAGGTCAGCCAAGCTTACTTCCGTTGGAAAGAGTGATTTTTAGAAAGTCTTCTACGTCAGAAATTGTGTAAGATTAAAGTCCGTGGCTTACTTGCTCTTGAACTAATGTTTTTTCTTATAAAGGTTAGGTTAGAATAATAGAATCAAGCCCAGATGCTCCACAATGCTGGACCCTTAGGAGACTGGGCTTTGGTTTCTGGGTTAACCTGTCCACACCCGACACTCCTCGGGCATGCCAGTGAGCCTGATTGGCTGGGGAGTCTGGGGGAAGGACCAGTCTGAGACCCCGTTGAGGTTGCTTGTTTTCCTGTTTCTATCGCTCATGAAGTAAATAAATAACGTTTATGTATTCTAAAGTAGAAGGGGTATTTGTTAAACAAGGTTGTAAGAGTGTTCTAACCCAACTTTCCATTTAATTTTGGAAATGTGAGTTACAGCAGCCAGCATATTGGTATTGGAGCACAAAAAAGGCAGTCCAGCCTAAACTAAATGGCTTTTAACTTCCTCATTCTAGACAGCTCTTATATGTTGAGCTAAAATGTTCTCTCCATTTGTCTGAGGACCACAGGGCGGTTTCTCTTTATTAGTGAGTGCTGCCGTCTTGTGCTAAGTCTCCTAGAAGAGTATGAAAATAGCTGTTCACCCGAAAAGGGAACAGACCGGGGTGCTGCAGGCCACGTGTGAGCAAGCAGGTGAGCCGGCCTGTGCCCTCTAGGCTGCAACAGGCAGCAGTGGGACTTGTACTCACCCCAAAATCCTGGAGGATGGCACAGATCACATTTTCATGAAAGGCAGTCTAGGGTATGAGTAACTTTTCAGTTACTAAGTACTCAGTTTCAGTTACTAAGTATTCCAAGAAAGTCAGTAGACCTTTGCTGTGGGTTCTGCTCTGTGGAATGCTGTTATCTGCTCCACCTCTCTCCCATCTCCCACAAGTTTTAATCAAGCATAATTCAGTAACAGTTTATCAGCCAATTAGATCAACTTTAAATTGTCAGTTGATAAATCAAAAGAGATACAAATTGAACACATATGAGTGTGATTATAAAATAAAATGGGCTTCTGTAAACTATTTTACAGTATCATTATTTTCAACTACTTATAGTATTGTTTCTTCTGGCCAGCCAGTGGGTTGGTAGTTAGAGCAGCTGGATGCTGCATGGCCGAATGTGCAGTTTGAGTCTCGGACCCTGCAGTTTGAGAAGCACCTAGGCACCTATGCGTGCATACCCAAAATCCCTAAAGGAGAGGAATGGAAGAGAAGGGATTGTGGTGCAACCATCCCCCATGGGGCGCACCCCCACCCCTACCCCACACCTCCCACCACTCCCTTCTCCAACAAGCATACTTGCCCTCTGGCAATTAAAAAAAAGTATTCTTTTCAATTGTATGAAAATATAAAATATCATTTACTAATAGATAAGGCATTTCGAAGTGGTGTGGGCCAGTGGTGGCATGTTAGTTAAAGGCAGCTGGATCCTGGCAGCTTAAACCCACTCTGGCATGTGAGTGTGTGTGTCCAGAATCCCAAAAGGAAGGAGAAGTGGAGAAGGAATTGCAGTGTGGCCATCCCACACTGGGGGGAGGTTCTTCTCTTTCTCTCTCCAGTAAGTGTATATGCCCTCTGGCAAATTAAAGTTTGGTGTATTACACAGACATAATTCAGTGTTGTCATTTAACATGTTTGATATACTAATAATTTTAGCACGGTTTCAAAAATTTGAAAGGAATTTTCACCTTTTGTTATGTCAGAAAATGTATTCTGTACTCTGTACCCAGACTTCATATTAAATCATTATGAACCTTGTAGGCATTAATGAACTTGGAGTGTTAAATTTTGAATTTGCAATTTTTCAAGATTCTATTTTCTGTGATACATATTTTATATACACACACGTATGTATGTATGTATATGTAGATGTGGATATAAAGCATTTTATTCCATACATACTTGTGTTTTACAGTGGTCATCATTTAGGTTGAGCAGTTTGGGCTTTTAATCTTCATTCCCACAGAGAACCCGTAGCTGGTGGTAGCAGGGTGAAAGTGTGTACACCGTCAGCTGCCCTGTGGGGGGTGGGGGGCATGCAGTGTAGCTGCTGGGCAGCTGACAGACTACTCCTTTCCAGGAGAAAAATCAGAGCGGAAACCTTGATTTTTAAAATCATTTCCATTTCCATCAAACATAACTGAACTTAGACTTTTGAATTTCGGAAAACCTGACCAAAAAAACAGATAGGTAGCGTATTTTATCTATTTCACACTATTAGAATTTCTTGTTTGGGGACCAGCAGTTGGCGTAATGGCTATGTCACTGAACTCCCATGTAGTTGACCACAGTTCAAGTCCCGGACCCGGTGACTTAAACTCACACTGGGCGTGTGTGCGTGCGCGCCCAAGATCCGGAGAGGAGAATGGAGGAGAGGGGATTGCGGCGTGGCCATCCCCCTGGGGGCTGATTTCTCACTTTCTGTCTCTCTGTTTCTCTCTGTCTTTTTCGCGATCATACGTGCCCTATAGCAAAAACCTCTCCAAAAAAAATAATAATTTCTTGTTTGAAACCGCTGTCATTAGCATTAATTATTCTGTGTTCTAGGTTCTTGGAAAATACTTCTTTACAATTATTTATCACTTTATTCCTTAAAGAAACACACCTTTGTGAAGTCATCCATATGTTGCTAGGTTGGGTTTCATGTTGCTGGAAGTACTGTTTGAGCGCTCTGCTATGTATTGTGCTTTAAGTGTGTAATTAAAGAGTGATTTCATTCAATAAGTTTGTTTAAATAGCTTAGAGCAGTAAGACTACCCCTGGAAGTTTTCACAGAAAGTGTCTATGGGTGTAGATGGCTTTCATTTTCCTTGATACAGGAGCTGGGAAGATGAGTACAGGAGTTGTCAAACAAGTTCATTACGAGGCCCGGCCACAGTGGCTTGCATGAGCCCTGCTGCTTGGCTGGCCGAGGCCCCATGGGAAGTCTGTTAGGTCCCTGGCCCACCCTAAAAAGCCAGCTGTGGGACTTGCCAGTCTAGTCCCAAGTGCTCAGGAGTCAGGGAGGAGGAGAGAGTAAAGTGAGATCCTGTCTAAAATAACGTCCCCAAGCCCCCCGTTCACACGAGTTCCTACTACACGAGGAAAGAAACTTTGAGTTGGCCCCATAACGTAGCGTAAAATGCTGTGCACAGGAAGCCGGATCCTACATGGCTGATCAGGGTCAAAGTCCTGCCCTGGTAGCTTGGAAGAAACACCAGGCATGCTTTGTGTCCCCAGGACCCTGGTAAGGTGGACAGTTAAGGGAAAAGGATTGTGCCATGACCAAGCCCCTTGGGGGTTTCTTTCTATTTCTCTCTTACGTGCACCCTCCGGCATAAATATAAATAAGGAAAGGGAATAAAGATAATGTAGGGAATGATAACAGAAAACCTGTGGGGAAGGTCTGGACGGGACAAAACCAGGATCAGTGAGCCTTTCCAGAACTACTCTGCCAGTGCATGTCCCTTACATCTGTCCTTCAAATAAGATGGTAATATGTTTCTGCGTTTTTAATTGTTGCCTAATCCTTACTAAGGAGAAGAAGGCAAGGCGACGAAGGGGTCCTAGGCAGTACTGGCATCTGCAGCCACAAAGAGAAAGGGAAGGGAATGCGAATCATCAGCCTCTCGGTTGTATGGCTGCGGCACTGAGGCAGGGATTACTGGGTTCATTTGAGAACACCTCCTATGGATAGACGATGATCAGGGTACTTATCTTTACTGCTGTTATTTAACATTTCTTTATGGCACCTGTTTCTATTTTACCTTTGGACACTCACTATGGGCCACATCTTTTCATTTTAGCTATTGCTTTGACTTGTAAAAGGAGACCACATGCAAGTGAAGGTTGGCTGCTTCAAAGTAGTTACCATTCCGGGTAAATAACTCAAATGCCTTATAGTTGAGGCCAAGAAACAGATAGGTTTGGCTCTAACAGCTTGTATTTGAAAAGCCTGTAGTTTCTGTTTGTTTATAGAGAGAGATTTTTGCCATAGGGTGCGTGTGCTTGCAAGAGAGACAGAGAGGCAGAAAGCAAGAAATCACACTCCCCCAGGGAGATAGTCATGCCACAACCCTTTCTCCTCTATTCTTCTCTTGGGATCTTGGGCATGCACGCACACACACACACACACACACACACACACACACACACACGCCTGGCATGAGTTTTAAGCTGCAAGGGTCTGGAACTCAAACTGTGGTTGACTAACAGGAGTCCCGCAGCATCACCATTAGCCATCTGCTGGTCCCAAAAGCTTGCAGTTTTTAAAATCTCTGTTGGGTCTTATGTGTATGTTAACATACACACAGACCTAGAGAAAACACAAAAGCCAGGCCTGTCTTCCACTTGAAAAGATTCACAGAACAGACCTGTAGATTATTCTTCAGTGCGTGAATTTCTTCAGTAGGTGATTATACTAAATTCGTATTCTTATGTTGCAGGAAGTTGGTGAACCATCTAAAGAAGAAAAGGCTGTAGCCAAGTATCTTCGATTTAACTGTCCAACGAAGTCCACCAATATGATGGGCCACCGGGTTGATTATTTTATCGGTAAGATTACGTCAGTAAACGTATACCTGTGTACATATCTTATGGAGTTATGTAACTGGGATATGGAGGTTTTCAAAGTGCTTTCCAAGAGTGATTATTGAAGCTAGTGATGAGCATAAGGCAGCTGATTATCCTGTCCTTTTCTTTCATGGCTAGAAATGTTTATAATAAAAAGATAAATTACTTTCAGTAACATTTGTTGGAAATTTAAAAAATAAGATTTATTTTCAGTATTTTAAAATACTACCCTTTTGTTCAGATAACATACGTGCCTGAAACTAGCTTTGGTTCTTCACATTACCCAAGCAACCTCACTGTAAGCTGACAACTATAATGTAGCCTCTTAACTCATAGTGATTGAATTTGCCCACCTCATCAAAGTCAAATTGCTATTATGTAGAGTTTTTCCGTCTTTTGTGTTGTTTTTAATAATTTTGATATATTAAAAGTTGAGAAAAGTAATGTATAAAATAAATTAAAAAATAAAAAAGACTTTAGAAAAGTAGGGCCAGCCCTGTACTTGGTGGTTAAGGGAACCAAATTCCTTGTGGCCAATGACACTGTTGGAGTCCCAGTCCCAGTGCCTTGAACAACACAGCAGCCCATAGGTGCACTTCCTTCTCCTCTCTTTGATGAGTGCATGTACACTCTGACAAATTAAAGGAAACCTTCTTTAGGAAGGACATACTGACCTCTTCAAATCTAAGACTTTTAGCTGCTTCTCAAGACAGCAGTAGATGGTTCACAGAGCTTACTGCATAGTGAACTGCAATAAAACCTGATGAGAATTTCCATTACCGGGGGCTGGGGAAAAGAACGTTTTTTTGTCTCTTTTTCTACATTTGATTGAGATTATTTGATAAAAGTGATAATTACTGAGAACGTCGTTCCATTGATTTATCTCACCTTAATGAGTATTTCTGAATGTCATTTATTTCCCAGCTTTACCTTTTTTTGGTTTAGTTTTTGTTTTTGCCATAGGGTACATGCACTGAGAGAGACAAAGAGAAAGAGGAAAGTGAGAAACCACCCCTAGGAGAAATGGCCACACTCCAGTACCTTTCCTCTGTTCTCCTTCCAGGATTTTGGGCACGCACATACACTCACCCAGTGTGATTTTCCATCCGCCAGGTCTGGGACTCCAACCATGGTTGGCCATGTGGGAGTCCAACTCCTTAACCATCATGCCACCTGCTGCCCCCCCACACACACACATTACTTTAAAACATGCTCATCAGTGTGTTTTATAAATTAAGGTTTAGAATAACTGTTACAATGTTAAACTTCTGTTGACCTTGGTTTTATCTTCTGTTGTCACAATGTTAAATTTGCTTTATAAAATAGTATTTAAGTACATTATCAGTTCCCATGTATTCTATATTTAAAATTATAAATTTTTTCTTTAGCTTCAAAAGCAGTGGATTGCCTTTTGGATTCAAAATGGGCAAAGGCCAAGAAAGGAGAAGAAGCTTTGTTTACAACCAGGGAGTCTGTGGTTGACTACTGCAACAGGTAGTGTTTATTTCTCAGTGAAAAATAATGTAAATAATAATCTTAAATTTTCTCCACAGTCCTGATGCTCTTTAGCTATTTTCACCATTAAATGTAGTAGTACTATAACATAGCTAAAATATAACTTTCACATTGCAGTCTAGATTTCTGTATTTTTTGAGTATCTCTGAAGTTTCTCTGGTACTGGACTATTATATTTGTAACTACTTGTGCATTTTACTTATATTCTCTGATTTTTGTGTATTTGCCAAGCCTACTGAACAGAAAGGTCAGCAATAAAAACCATATATTGGTGCCTACAGTGAACAAAGAAGTTCTTTTATAAAGCAAATGATTTGAAGAGTCTTTTTTCCATTATTTCTTTATGAATTCCTATTAGTCCTATTATCCCTGGTTTATGAGCACCTATACCCTGAGCCCTAAGCCAGATGCCCTTGTTAGGTTCATTGATTACTCATGTATCGATAGTGTTCCCTGTAAAATCAAGGCAACTCTTAGTATCTACCATGTGTTGGGTTTTTTGGGGGGTGGGGGTGGGGAAGAAGTGGATTCAAGAGGAAACACAAATTAGAAGTACTTTTTAAAAAAAATATATGTATCTAATAGGTACTTTCTCTTTGCAAAAACCTTTTGATGGTAATTAGTGAACCTAAAAGGAAAAAAATCATCTTTCTTTTGTAAAGAGTATGCTGGTTTTCCCTTCTATATTCTTCCTTGGTTTATTAAATACCTACTAGGCATATTTATTAATAGATACTAAATTTTATTTTTATAATTTGTGGGAACTTGAGATTTTGGATTACTTTCTGTTACGGAGGTACACGTGGCATTTACTATTATTTTGCTTAATGACACTTGACGTCTCAGCCACCAGAGAACCCTCATAAAAGCCACTGTTTCACAACCTGGTTTCTTAAGCTGTTGAGTTAAAGAACTATCAGTATTTCTTAAAATTCCTAGTTGCCAAAGACTAGAGTCACCAACATTTCAGAAACAGTAAGTTCCATTGTTGAGACAGAGATGAGCTAACAGTGGTGTAGTGAATCTTCACTTGTTATGCTTATAACATTGTCTAATTAGAATTAACTCCACAGTCCACACTTCTCAGGATAGATTTATTTTTCACATATGGTATAAAAAAATTGGAATCCAGAGAAGTTCAGAAACTTGTCCAAGGTCAGGCAGTTAAATGGCAGATCTAAGATTCTTAAATTGAGCAGTCTGGTTCCATAGTCCATGCTCTCAGCCACTGCAGTGTGCTGTCTCCTCCAGCAAAATAGTGCTGCATTTATTGGAGCAAAAATTGAAATTGATTTACCTTGTAATATACTTTTTTTTCATTGTCTTTTTTAAATGTTTTTGCCATGGGAGGGGGAGAGAGAGAGAGAAATCATTTCTGGGGGGATAGCCACCACATTTCTTTCTCCTCTCAGGATTTTGGACACGCACACAACTCGCCCAGTGTGGTTTTAAAGCCTGCAGTCCAGGACTCAAACTATGGTCATCCATTATGGGAATCCAGTGCCACCTGCTGGCCTCCACCTGTCAGTACTATTATTTGATTATTAAATTTGTGATTCCAAATCTCTTAGTTTTTTTTTTTTTTTTTAAGAGATTTTTACTACAGGGCACATGAGCTGGCTAGAGAGACAGAGAAAGTGAGAATTCATTGCCCCCCCCCACCCCCCCAGGAGTGATGGCCACACCACCATCTCTTCTCCTTCCTCCTCTTGGGATTTTGGGCATGCACTCACTCTCACCCTGCATGAGTTTCAAGCCACTAGGTCTGGGACTCAAACAGCAGTTGGCCCTGTGGCACCCCATCCAGCACCCCAACCACCATACCACCTACTGACCCTGAGAATAACCAGTATTAATCCACATCTTTGGCCTTTTAAAAGGAGCCTTAGTACTTGTTACATGAAAACTCAAAAGGTCTGTGTATGGAGAATGCCCTAGAGAAACACTTTTAATTAGAATATGATTTCTATTTCATGTCAGGTTGTGTCATTTCTTCACTAAAATGTTAGGTTGTCAGAAAGTCTTGATACATTTTTGCATGGTAAAAATACATGACTATTTGACAACCCAGTGAGAGAGAAAAACATAATTCTACCAAAAGCCTTCAGAGCCACTTCTAACACAACTGTTGAGCCCTCATGAATGCCAGTCCTCATGGGTTCCTGCCTGACCACAGATAAAACCACAAAGGGACTTTTGTCCAGTTTCATTTCCTGAAACATCTGAGTAGGCATAAGGGCATGAAGAAAAACAAAAGAAAATAGTAAAATGTAGGAAGACTACAAAACAGTCTTTTCTAATATAGTCTATCTATACCTGTTGATGGCCTGTTTCACATAAGAACCTCTCAACCTCATCTCCATAAGACTTTGCTTCACCAAGCCGGTGTGGCAATGTCCTTACTCTTGTGCAAGTGCCACACTTCTTTCCTCTGATCTTTTTTTTTTTTTTTTGAGAGGTTTTTTTGCTATAGGGCGTGTGCGCTCGCCAGACAGACATAGAGACAGAAAGCGAGAAATCACCCCCCAGGGGGGATGGCCACACTGCAATCCCTTCTCCTCCATTATCCTCTCGGGATCTTGGGCACGCATGCCCATGTGCCTGCGTGGAGTTTAAGCCCCCGGTCCGGGACTCGAACTGCGGTCGACTGCGTGGGAGTCCAGCGACATAGCCATTACACTAACTGCTGGTCCCCCCTCTGATCTTTTTTTATCATAACCTGCCACTTTGCCTAAACAGTTCTCCTTCCTCCTTCCTCTGCCCTACCTGCCAGTCATTACATACGTATCCCTCAAGCCCTGCCTCTGCCACGCAGTATTCCGTCAGCCCTCCCGCCCACATTAACCTTTATCTAGAGTTCTGCTGAGTTTATCAAGGTAGCAGCACCCATTTTGGCTCTTAACTGTTTTAGATTGTTGCACTGTTACATATGTGTCAGTTTTGTTCATCTCTTGCCAGCTAAATTATAAGGCACTTTATATTTTGTTGTAATCCCATAACAGCACAGTGTGCACACTTCATAGAAACACACCAAATTGTCACATAGGTGAAAGTCCCTAATATATATCTGGCATTCATCACATTCATTACGTTTAGGAAAAAATAAAGAGGCTAGGAAAAAGCACAAAAGCAATTTGGAAACTTTTTAAAAAGTTTATTTCTCCCAGAGAAGGAGAAACAGAAAGGCAACCATACCAGGGTCTTTGCACCACAGTCCACTCCTAGTTCAGTGGGCCTGGGTTACACCGCTGTGCTCGGGGAGATTCCTGGACACACACCTGGGACCTTCCCCTGTGGCCCATTTGCATTACCACTGTCCACCACCTGGCCCTGAAACGTTTGATGAGGTCTTTTAAAACCAGTTATTTAGTCAACAAATATTTATCAAATACCTATTATATGCTAGGCCCCAGGAATATAGTGGTGACTATGACATTGTCCTTACCTCAAAACACGCATTCTAGTCTTTTAGGGAAAATTTATGTGATTAAAATGCAGTGTGTTCTATAAGGACTTAGTGAAACTATCGATAAGGACTTCACATGGAAAATGTTTAAGTCATATTTTTAAACATAAATAGGTGATTACCCAACAAAAGAGAAGAAAAGATACTTGTTCTGAGCACAGGGCACAGAACATCATGAGATAAGAAAGTGTAAGTATTGTGAAAATATGAGAGGACTTTGTGTAAGTGGTTTGTTCTTTATCATGTTCTTAAAGCCAAATAAATGGAGGCTTTGATTTTATTACAGAGGTTAAATAATGTCAGTCTCACTTTTCTAAGTGTAGGATAAGTTGACATACACATTTTAAAAATTCCTATCAAGGAATAAGTCAACAATTCTACTTATTACAGGACAGAATGATGTGATAATGAATGAATTATGAAACCGTGTGTGTGTGTGTTCCATCACTGTTAAATGAAATGGAAGATTTCACCATAGCAATAATGGCTAGCATTTATTGAATGCATGTATACCAGGTACTGTGCTGAACAACTGACATGCTTCTCAGTTAATCCTAAACCGCCTATGAGAGAGATAGCCCATACTAGAAGCAAACTGAAATTAAGTAACTTACCCGGTATCACCCACCTAGTTAAATGGTAGAGATGCTATTTGAACCTCTCTAGCTGAATGTGAAATTACATTCAACGTGAAACTGATTGGAAGTTAGTAGGTTAGGTTTTTTATGAGGATAGGGTGGCCGTGCAAGAAGAGCGACAGAAGTGGACAGTCCTGCTGGTCCTGTGCCCCCTTGTCTACTCATCAGAGAAAATATAGCATCTACTAAAATTATATGGGTTTTAAAATTTATTTCTCTATTAAACATTTTTCTGGGGCCAGCAGTTGGCATAATGGCTATGTTGCTGGACTCCCATGTAGTTGACCTCGGTTCAAGTCCCAGACTCGGTGGCTTAAACTCACACCGGGTGCGTGTGCATGTGTGCCCAAGATCCCGAGAGGAGAAGGGATTGCTGTGTGGCCATCCCCCCAGGGGGTGATTTCTCACTTTCTGTCTCTCTGTCCTTCTGGCAAGCACACACACCCTATGGCAAAAACCTCTCCCCCCAAAAAAATAAATTTTTTTTCCACTATGGTAAATTTGAAAAAACTGAAAATGTAGAAAATGATTTAGAAGAAAATCTAATAATATTGCTTCATAGATAACCACATTACCACTTGAGAATATAAGGGGACTTTAAAAAGTGTGTGGAAAGGCAGGATTAAAACATAAGAAAGTATAAACTTTATTTCCAGTGCAAATTCCATCTAGTTGAAGATACTTTTGTCAGCAGTGATACTAGCCATTTAGTCTCTCCCTAAAGAATTTGAGGGTCTTGGGACCGGCAGGTGGTGTGGTTAAAACTCCGGACACTCCCACATGGCCGACCAGCTTAAGTCTTGTACCTGGTGACTTGCTTTCTCACTTTTCCTCTCTCTCTCTGTGTCTCTCTCTCTGGTCAAATTAAAATAAATGAATAAATAAATAAAACTGAAAAAAAAAGAATTGAGTGTCTTGGAATTTAACCATGTTATAACAAGTTTGTGTAAGTTTGTCTTGTTGTTTAAATAAAAAGAAAAGAAAAGAAAACACAAAAGCTGGGGGACCAGCAGATGGCATGGTGGTTAAGGCACTGGACACTCCCATATGGCAGACCATGGTTCGAGTCTTGGCTCTGGTGACTTGCTTTCTCACTTCTTCCCCCTCCTCTCTCTCTCTGTGTTTCTCTCTTGTCAAATTAAAATAAATGAATGAATAAATAATTATTAAAAAAACACACAAAACCTGAATTTTGGGTATAGGTTTTCATAATATACATTCCATGAACATTTTAAAGATCCCTTGTATATACTTCAGTATTTATCTGTATACTCTTTTCTAAAGTTATTTAATTTAATTTATTGTTGTTATTTTAATTTGACCAGAAGGAAAGGGAAAGTAAGAAAGCAAGCTGCCAGGTCCAGGACTCAGACTGCAGTCAGCCATGTGGGAGTCCAGCGCCTTAATCACCATGCCACCTGCCAGCCCCCCACTTGTACTCTTAATGTATAGACTTCTGAAATATGAAGTATAATATAAAATGCTCAAGTCTCTTTTTTCTTTTTAAATTTGCTACAGGGTATGTGTACAATCTTCAGAGAGAGAAGGAGGAAGCACCCTCACTGATGGGGAGTGGTCACACCACAATCCCTTCTCTATTTCTTGTAGGCATGTACCTGCACCTGACATGTTTTTCAAGCCATGAGGGCTAGGATTTGAACCATGCATGCAGTGGACCATGTAGGACCTAGCTCTCTTAACCATCAGGCCGTGAAGCCAGCCCAGAAATGCTGGCTTTCAATTAATATATGATAAACAGGATGTATACTTGTTCTGATATTTAGTGGTAATAAATGTTTCTGGTAGAAAATCTGGAAACTACGTAAGTGCACAAAGAAAGTTAGAATATATGTTCATTCTGTAATGTTTTTTCAAAACAGTATGAAGCACATATAAAATTACCCTTCATTTTCCAACATCCCATTACTGCTCTTAAATCCTACTTTCTACTCATTGCTAGTTAATTTTTGAGGTCTCATTTCAGATTTTTGTTTGTTTTCAGCAGAGAATAATGGTAGCGTTTGGGGAGCAGTTTTGAACAGTTGCGTAACTAACATGCTAAATACTCTGCTGAACAAGTAGAACAGGGTAAATGAGAAAACCTGGAAGTGTTTTCTGTGAAGATGCTCCCAGGCTGGACCTAACTGGAGGTCAGTGAAGCCCACCCAGACAGGTGAGATGCGGGTGCCCACAAGGGTATGCACAGTGACCAGGAAGCGCTCTGTGGGCGGGATGGAGACCTCTGCTCAGTAAGTGGGCTAATGTGCGGAAGAGGAGACCGAAACGTATACGCGGAAAAGCCGATAGTCACACTGCAGGCAGGATGGTGGTACTGAACCCTCCTAGTTCTGGATTGTAGTAGTTGTACATTATCAAGGCAGGAATGAGGAAACAAACCAGAAATTCTGAAACTGAAACATGGGGTCTGAAAAAGTGGCTTTTAGTTGACAAAGGTTATAAGGGAAAACCAGTTTCTGAAGTAGGATTGTAAGATTAGAGAGGCATTACAGCAAGATGGGCTTTACCAGGGTTAAGCTGAGCTAAACTCATATTAAAAACAAAGTGTAATTGTATATTCATTTTAAAAAGAAATGAAAAGGCAAGGATTGGTTTCTTTCGGTCCGTCTGTCTTTCCTTCTCTCTCTTTTCTTTAAAATTTTGCCAAAGGGTGAGAATGCTCGCCAGGGAGGAAGCACTCTCGCCCTACCCCGGGAAGTATTTCAGCGCAGCAGCTACTTGTTACAGTACTTCCTCTGCCTTCCTCCCTCCTTTTGGGATTTTGGGCAGGCACACACCAACACACAGTGTGTCTTCCGGGCTGCCAGGTCCAAGACTCAGACTCCATGGTTGGCTGTTTGGGATCTGGCTACCTTAACCACCAGACACACTGGCTAACTCAAGACTCGCTCTTAACGTTTATAGTATAGCGAGGAAGCAGATAATAGCAAAGCACAGTGAGTTAGAAGGGAAGTGCAATAGATAATAGGAGATAAGTTAGAGGATGGGGGGAGAGGGCTTGTGGGGATTTAAAAACATTTTTTAACATTTATTTTTCTATTTTATTTGTTGTGATTTTCAAGCCACCAGGTCTAGGACTTGAACCACAGTTGGCCTTGAAGGAGTCCAGTGCCTTAATTACCATACCACCTGCTGGCTCCAGGTTTAGGGTCTTAAACAGCAAAGGTTTTAGTTAAGGAAAAACTTGAAGTACGGGAGTGAGTGAAACAATAAGACATGTTTTCTTGGGGAAGAGCATCTGAGTAAAGAGAACAGCCTGAGGTAAGAATGTAAAAAAACACTGAAGTAAGAATGTTTAAAAATAAAAAGCACTGTGGTAAGAATGCAATAAATCTAATAGCTAAAAGGGATTATGTATTGAGACAGAAATTAGTGAGATGAAGTATATAAGTGTGGGCCCAATAGGTGGTGTGGTTAAGGCACTGGACTCCCACATGGCTGACTATGGTTCGAGTCCCGGACTTGGCAACTCACACCAGTTGCATGTCCATGCTCGCCCAAAAGGAGAATGGAGAAAAGATTGCAGTGTGGCCCTCTGCCCTGGGGGGAATTACTGTTTTCTCTTTCTTAATCTCTATTTGGCAATCATACGTGCCCTACGGCAAAAGCCTAAAACAATAATAATAATAAGTGTTTTGCTAAATATATGGTACATTTTCCAGTCTGATGTGAATGAAGGTCCCTTTCAGAGTTCAGAAATCACCTTAGTATTGTTAAATTACTCATTTCTTAAAAGAATTGTTTATTTAATTTTATTTATTCATTCATTTATTTTAATTTGACCAGAGAGAGGCACATAGCGAGAGAGGGGGAGAGAAAGTGAGAAAGCAAGCCACCAGGTCCAGGACTCAAACCCTAACCCTAATCAACCACTCCATCTGCTGGTCCCAAATTACTCATTTTTTTAAATTGGAGTTAGTTCATGGCAGCAGGCTGAATATTAAAGTACATGGAGAAGAACATAACATTAAGAACAAAACAGTAAAGACATGATTTGGGTCAGTGGAATCATGGTCACATTTTTAATCTAACATTTTAAGCTGTTTATTTTCTCCTTTATTTCGTCTACTCTTCAATTTGAGACTTACTACTAAGTGAAGCTGAGTCTTGGTTACTCTTAATGAACCTAGAGAAAAGCTTTATAAGGTTTTTTTTGGTTTTGTTTGTTTGGTTTTCTTTAGAGGTTTTTGCTGTGGGGAGCGTGCACTGGCCAGAAAGACAGAGACAGAAAGAGACAAAGAAAGCGAGAAATCACGCCCCCCCTCCCAAAGGGGGATGGACATACTGCAATCCTTTCTCCTCCATTCTCCTCTCGGGATCTTGAGCACACATGCACACGTACCCGGCACGAGTTTAAGCCACCCGGTCCGGGACTCAAACCACGGTCAACTACATGGGAGTCCAGTAACAAAGCCGTTATGCTAACTGCTGGTCCCACTTTATAAGGGTTATCCAAAGCCAAACTCAAAATCTCTTTTCACCTAAATTACATTACATTGAATAACACTGAGTTTTGACAACGTACATAATCAAATTGTCTATACAACTTTTTGATTGTTGGTAGAGTTGACTGTTTTTTCATGGGCTTTCTAGTTATTTCTTTTGCAGGTTGCCAGTTTATGTATTCCTATGCTCATTTTATTTGTGTCTTAATATTTTTGGTTTCCAGTCCACATGTTATAAGTGATAGGAGATGTAATGGCATACTCTTTTTCCTAAAGGCTTTTAAAGAAGCAGTTTTTCCACCGGGCACTAAAAGTAATGAAAATGAAGTATGATAAAGACTTAAAGAAAGAAAAAGATAAAGGAAAATCCGAAAGTGGAAAAGAAGAAGATAAAAAGAGCAAGAAAGAAAATATAAAGGATGAAAAAATGAAAAAGGAGAAAGAGAAAAAAAAAGATGGGGAAAAGGAAGAATCCAAAAAGGTGATTATCTAAAACTTAAGTAAAAAATCATGTGCACCTATATAAGCGTGTTTAAAATATTATTTGAGGGACCAGCAGGTGGCATGGTGGTTAAGGGCACTGGACTCCCACATGGCTGACCGCAGTTCAAGTCCCAGACTTGGCAGCTTGCTTTCTCATTTTCTCTCTGGTCAGATTTAAATAAATAAATAAATAAAGTCAGATAAAATAATTCTTTAAAAAAAGAAACTATTACAACCACTTGAAATAACCCTATGATTATTATAAATCATGGTTTCAAATTTTTATTTCTATGCAAATAGTGAAAATATTTCACTGTGTGAATGTTATGTTTTATTCCTTGTTTTCTCTCTTTTCAACTTATGTTTTCATAGGAAGAAACTCCAGGAACTCCCAAAAAGAAAGAAACTAAGAAAAAATTCAAACTTGAGCCACACGATGATCAAGTTTTTCTGGATGGAAATGAGGTGAGAGTATTTAGCACATATTTAGAAATCCAGTTTACCATAGTAAATTTTAGAAATATGTTTGATGCTCCTTGTGGCTGGAACTACTCTCTTCCAGTAATTCACCAAAATGACAAGCACAAAGAGAAAGGGGAGATGCACCCAGTGTGCATTCCATAGACCTTTCAGAAAACATTGAGTGTTCCTTTGGCAACACACACGTGAATCTACAAGAAAGATGTTATTGCAGACATCAAGGGGATGGGTGCATTCAAAAAGGAATGCCAGTAAATGTTACCATGGCAACACTGGAAGCATGTTCCCCAGCATGCTGTTGGCATTGTTGTAAACAAACACGTTAAGGGCAAGGTTCTTGCCAAGAGAATTAATGTGTCTATTGAGCATATTAAGCATTCCAAGAGAGACAGCTTCCTAAAATGTGGGAAAGAAAATGGCCAGAAAAAAGAAGGAAGCCAAAGAGAAAGGTGCCTGGGTCAACTGAAGCTCCAGCCTGCTCCACCCTGAGAAGCCACTGTCTAAGGACCAATGGAAAGGAGCCTGAGCTTCCAGAACCTATTCCCTATGAATTCACGGCATCATGGGTGTGAAAAAGTAAATAAACTGTGGACTATAGAAATGTTTTTCTTAATTGAGTAGAATTGTGGTGTTCCCTCCCCCAAGGCAAATTTTAATTGGGCTCTAATTCATTTTGTAACATCTTCATGCAAATTTAATGTCTTTCTAGCTGAAAGATGTAAGGGTGGTTTATTATGCAACAAATAAAACTCAGCTCAAAAATAGCCAAAAGAAAAGTTTGAAATGTGTTTGATGCTTCACTAAGAAAAGAAGTAATTTAGGCAACTAATGATACACTTAAGTATATAAAAATGACTCTATTTAAAAATTATTTCCCTGATTTAGATTTATAAAAAGTCAGAATTAGATTTGGCCATTTGTGAGTGATAGCAAACCTGAAATAACAATGGCTTAATTCGAAGCAGATGCTTATTTCTTTCTCATCAATGAAATCTAGGGATAAATGGTGCAAGTAAGGCAGCTCCGTGATCAATAAACACAAATAAGGCAGCTCCGTGATCAATCTGAGCCTCTCTTAGTTTTTCTCCTGTGTGTGAATATGCTGGGTAAGGTCATGTTATGGTCCAAAATGACTACAAGCTTTAAGTAAGCGGTCTTCAAAAAACCTGGAAAATACTTATTATGACAAAACTGTTTTTGGATTTCTTTCCTTTTCTGCACCAAAATAAATTCATACTTTCCATGAACATTCTGAGGTCCCTTTTGAAAGCCTACTTTCAAAAGAAGAAAAGAGAGTGAGGAACATGCCTCCTCTTTAAGGAGAACAGATTAGAACCTGTCAGGAGCTACAGTTCCATTCCTAGTTGGTTGTATTAGCCAGAACCTAGTCACATGATCATGCCTGATGCATTTTTGGGACCGGCGGTTGGCGTAACGGCTATGTCACTGAACTTCCATGTAGTCGACCATGGTTTGAGTCCTGGGCCCAGTGGCTTAAACTCAGGCTGTGTGTGTGTGTGTGCCCAGGATCCTAAGAGGAGAAGGAATTGTGGTGTGGCCATCCCCCCTGGGGGGTGATTTCTTGCTTTCTGTCTTTATGTCTCTGTCTTTCCAGCAAGCGCATGCACCCTATAGCAAAAACCTCTCCAAAAAGAAAAGAAAAGAAATACATTTTTCCT